GGGGGGGGGGGAGGGGGGTGACTGCTCACGTGCTCACGTCTGCACAGACATGGAGCTGTGAGAGCCCACAAACCAGCTCACGACGCCAGCTGTGTGTCTACAGTCCCTGTGTTTGTACACCGCTCTGCAGATACTCGACGGGAGCTCGGCAATCTCGAAGCGAGGGGGCTAGCTGGCGAAGTGGAGCGGGGGGCGTCGTAGCCTGTTGTTTTCAACGTCAAGCCAATCTACGGCCATGGGAGAGCTTGGAGGTAGTAGCAGCGGGCAGCTGCGCATCTTCGACCCCGCCTCCGGCGAGCTGTATGCTTCTGTGTCCTCAGATAACCGCCTCAGGATATGGAACACGGTGCGTCGCTGCTTCTGCCTATCACCCACCGGCGTGGCGTATGGCTAGACCACACAAATCACGACCCAAACCAAACCTGACAGTCCTGTGCGGTAAAATCGAGGTTGTCGTTAGTGGAGGGGGGGAGATGTTGGCGAGTAGCAAGTGCACCAACGTGGACTGCACGGCAATGGCCCATGGTCCCGTGCATGGATTGCCCGTAATTGGAACCATGCTTGCTTGTGTGACACGCTCACACCCCCTATACGGCTATCTCCGTGTGTTCTCTCTACACGGGCGCCATTCGTTACTGCTGCTGTGAACGTACAAGGCGTCGGGAGATCTAAGGCAGCAGTATGTGGAGCCTCGACATCTCGCCAAGCAGTACACCTGCATCGCGTGGCACCGGCCATCTTCAAAGGTGAGCAGAAATGCTGAAGCGATCGAAGCGAGACAATGCCGGAGAATTGTATGGCATCAATCCTTGTATACACTCACTGCTACTGGCTGTGCCCACATCTACCGCAACAGAAACATGTTACTCCCAACCGAACCGCCCAGCCGAAGTGTGCCTGTCATGTGGGCACGTACGTACTGTTATTTTGCTGCGAGCCAATCGACAATCGGATTGGCCCATGGTTTGCTGGTGCGCGTTCGGCAACAGGAGGCGATGTACCGCTTATGTAGTGTCAGCACACAAGTGTCGGCGCGGTGCCGTAGGCTGCTGTCATGGCCGCTACGGTTTACCATTGAACAGCGCTATGGCACAGGGCGACATACTGTAAGTGCCTTGAGATGGGCTCTACGCATATGGTGCCGCACAACAGGACGCTGGCTTCACCCGCCAACGCCATACAAGCCCTGAAGTAGCGTCGAATCGCGCACGATCCCGCTTAGTTTGCGACACCCATCTTACCCTTGCCCTTTCCTCCCCCCCTCTGCGCACAGAAGTCTAAGCGGGGTAGCTCCGGGGCGTCCAAGCCTGCTTATTCCCTGGGCATGATCGCCCTCGGAACGGACAAGGGGAGCGTGTCCGTGTGGGACCTAAAGCGTGGCGCTCTCGCGCACTCCCTGGGAGAGGTGAGTGCTTCTTGATGCGCTGTTGTTGGTCGTGTGACTGTTGACTGTTGCGTTTGATTAGCGATGTAATAAGTAGGCAGCACCATTCAATAGTGTACATTTACGACACGAGATAAAACCCCACCCACAAAACCGCACCCGGTGTTGAAGACTTTTCCGGTTCGACATGAGCCCAAAATATTGAACCACTCTGAGTTCACCGAATAGGGCGTCATCAGATACAACCCCCATTACACCTGGTGATGTTTGAAAAGCCAAAATGTTCTACTGAGCCATCGTTTATTGTTCGTACCATGGTATTCTGCTGTGCGCCTTCCCAAGACTCTTGTCTCCGCACATCATTGAGAACCTTATCTCGTGCCCGAAACTATTCGCTGCCTGGAGTCACGAGTCCGGAAGGATTTCCCTTTTCGCCTTTGGAGAATATCGCACTTTCTACGTCAGAGCAACAGCAGCAGACAATAGCAATACAAATGCACAAAGGCGCATTGTTCGGCCAAGAACTTGAGATGGTTCGAAAGTTCGACATCGGCACCCACGGGGCAATCGCCGCCCCATGTTTTGCCTCGCTAGGCGAGTGTGGCGCTCTCGGGACAACCAGCGGCAACCTCCCGTTCTGCTCCATGGTTGCGCGACCTTGCCAAACACCGGCGCCAGCACCCTCTATGTCCCTCATTGCTGTCTGCGTCCCCCCCCCCCCCCCCCCCCCCCCCCCCCCCCCCCCCCCCCCCCCCCCCCCCCCCCCCCCCCCCCCCCCCCCCCCCCCCCCCCCCCCCCCCC